TTTGGTCACTTTTCTGATGCGTCCCACGAGGGGGGGAATAAAAATCACCCACACACAGACATCTAACCTCCCCGAAAACTGAGGATTTAAAACAAAAAAGGGAGAAAGTGGATGCCTTGGCTATCTCTTTTCACGAAAGGCTCGACCCCGCGGCCCCACATCTGCAGCCGGTCCCTCAGGTCTGATCAGAGAAGACAGGATGTGACCTCATCTGCGATCTCGCGACCTGAGGAAGCGCTTCAAACGAAACGAGAGTTCATGGAGGGAAGGCATGTACCAAAGATGAGCTCGCCGGGCGACCTTTTATGGAGCCGATGCTCCGATTCAGATCTGTTTTATGACAAACATTTGTCAAGGAGATCCATCAGTGCTGTCAGTGTTTATTCCGCACAGCTGTAAAGGAGCACAGTCACTCAAGTTCATTTGGACTCCGTCATCGTTTTGGTGCGTTTGCAGCTCTGTTTCTGTCTGCTGAAGGCCTGGCCGGCCTTTATGTATTTGCTTAAGAAAGGTGATTTCCCTGTTTCTCTGGTTGGAGAAAGTGTGGGAGAATGTTTCCCCTCTGAGTAGGGTCGTCACGATACTAAAATGTTCAACTAGATACCGATACTCAGGAAAATATTCGATACTCGATACCATTTTTGATACCACAAGGATAAAAACAAAGACTCCAAAATTTTACTGAATTTTGACAGGTTGGTCTCTTTGGTTTCAAACTGACCTGTTACTGATGTTATGGTGGCCCACATTAAAGCTCTTTGGACTTATTGTACAAACATATTTATCATACAATATTTTAGACTAATATTATGTATAGAGTTTAATTCAGTGTTTGCTAGATTCATTTCACTATTTTTAAATGAATGTCTATATTGCCATGAAGCAATTAGGATTTTCTTGCCTGGGATCTTCCTATTGGTGACCTAATCAAAATGGCCGACTTGGATGTGGGGGAGTTGGATATCCATCTTTGGCTTCCTGCAGTCTGCAGCCAGACGGACTTTATTAGCCATTAGCCGCATCTATCAATTCAAGGCTAACGTCATTTTAATGATTATAAACAACGTAAATAAATAAATCAGAGAGATTAATTAATAATCTTATTAGTCCTGATGACGTCAGATGGTTTACAATTTACGCACTGAACAATTTCCCTGTTTCTTCTTTATTACCTGGTTTCATTTTCTCCTCTTTTATTGTTGATATTTGCCTCCTCATTGGTCGAACATGTGTGCAGCTGCAGTGGAAACTGTGTCACTGCCTCCCGAAGAACTAATTTCCCTCCTCTAATGGCTCCCATTCATCTTATCAGACCTGGTTTAAATGACTTCCTTGTCATTGTTTTTATTATTTTAACACGAGGCCTCGTAACGACGACAACAATAATAATATTAATTAGAGAAATAACACCGTTTTTTTTACATGACGTGTAATGTTTAGGTGGGTGTTTTTCTTTTTCTTGTTGGTCTGATTTTCCTTTGAGCTGCTGTGTGGTTGTGTGTGTGTTTGTGTGTTTGTGAGTCGAATAACTAAGACAAAGAGGGAGCAGCATGGGAGCAGACGGAGGTATCTGAGCTGTTGGGGAAGCAGGAAGAGGAGAGGAGGGTAATGATGGAGAAACAGACGCTGAGAGGGAAGACAAAGGGGGAGAGCAGGGCTGCCCGTCAGTGTCTGGTCCAGGGCCAGGAGCAGGGATCGGTCCG